GGGTCGGACAAGAACACTGACGGGTCAGACAAGAACACTGACGGGTCAGACAAGAACACTGACGGGTCACAGAGAAACTTTGCTGAGAATTGTTTGTGGTTCTTTTGTCTCAAATGTTCAGTTGGAAACACCTCCAAACGCCGTCTTGTTCTTTCTTCTCCTTCTACTTCTTCTTCGTCGTCTTCTTGTTCTTTCTTCTCCTTCTACTTCTTCTTGTTCTTTCTTCTCCTTCTACTTCTTTCTGTTCTTTCTTCTCCTTCTACTTCCTTCTTCGTCGTCTTTTTGTTCTTTCTTCTTCTTCTTTTTGGCGGTTTGGTTTTGGTGTGTTTCGTCCACAGTAAGGAGTTCTGATCGACCACGTCAAAAACCAGAAGAACTCCAGATGTTTCTCCTCCTCCACCTGACAGCTCCACTCAGACGTCACGCAGCCAGAAGGTGGTACCAGTACTTTAGTTCTGTAGTACTGGTACCGTGTGTTTTTAGTATTACCAGAAAGCCATAAAGTCAGCTGTTTATTGAACGGCAGGCCTGTCCCTGTCTCTGTTAGCAAAATAATCTCAAGACTGGAGGCTGCTGTAGTCACCGGGTGTTCTCCACAGCTGTCCGTCATCCTGCTTGAAGATGGCCGCCGTCTCCAGAAATGACGCCGCCTCGGTCCTTTCTGGAGATGGCGAGCTGAAGCGTGGGGTGGTAGTAGCTGAGAGTCATGTCAGCTCTGAAGATCTGTGAGGATGCTGCCCTGCGGCCTTTTAATGTGCTGTAACCAGTGATCCAGATGTTTTGAATACTCCTGCCAACTTGAAGAATTAAACTTTTATCTTTTACATTTTCACCCTTCAAAATAAAGGTCCCTTAACAAAACACAGCTCTTGTACTGAAGCTCCTCAACAAAGAGCTTTTATTCTCTCAGTTTAGCTCAGATTGGTTTTACATCCTACAAATTAAGATTAAACTGCACCCAGGGGCGCCACTAAAGGGGGGCCGGGGGGGTGAAACTGGTCATAAAGAGTTTTACTGACTTCCTGCTCCTCCGCCGCTCCTTCCGGTCCATGACGGCGGGCACGCAGCTCGTCAGCTCGGTCCAGTCCGCGTGCAGCCCGCAGCTCCAGCCGGTGGAGAACCGGGAGAAGAGCCAGGACTCGGGCCGGCCCGGCCGCAGGCACGCGCACCTCCTGCCGCCCGACGCGCAGTCGCACGGCCGCTCCAGCTGGATGTTCCGGACCAGGTGCCGGCCGAACGTGGTCCCGCCGGTCTTCTGGATGTGCAGGAACACCATCACGTCGTCCCCCCGGATGTCGAAGCGCACCTGCCGGTCCAGGTCCCGCTCCGTGAAGTTGAACCGGGACGACGGGAGCTCGTCGTCGTCCGCCCCCGGCTCGGTGGAGCCGAACCCCGGGGCGCGCGCGCGGAGGAGCCGCCGGTCCTCCCGGCAGGTGCCCGCCGGACACACGTACTGGTAGCCGAGCATGAGGCAGAGGACGGCGGCGAGGGGCACGAGGAGGAGTCGGTGCAGCTTCTCCTCCATCGCGAGGAGTCACGGAGTCACGGAGCGGAGCTGGAGCCGCGCGCGTCTCATCCTGCCGGACCCGAGCCACCCGAACCTCCGCCGAGCTGCCGGAACATCTGCTGCTCCGTCCACGCGCCGCCGCGCGCAGCCTGAGGCGCGAAAAGATGGACGGCGGCAGCAGGCGAGCTTCCGGTCAGGACTTTCAAAACAAAGGCGCATCAGCACCTGCAGCACAGAAAAGCGTGAGAGGAGCGGCGGAATCAGTGAAATACACAAACTTTAAATCTGGAGTCATTAAAACATAAAAGTTGTGTTCATACTCCTCTGGTTTCGGGTCTTGGTTCTGTAGGAACCAAGGACCAACCCGTTCTCCAACGACGCTTCAGGGTCCAAACTAACCCAAGAATTGTTCTAGTTGTGGCGTGTCATGGCAGGACGACGACTGACAACTTGCACAATACTAAACGTTCCAAACAGGACGAGTCAGAAGGAACACAAACTGATCAGGGTCAGGTTTCTGTAATGTTCCGGGTCTTCCTGAAGCTTCAGGATCCATTTTTTACATTCAGGGTGTGGATGAGTCACTCCTGACCAATAAAACCAGTTTCAAACCAGCGCTGTCGTCACAAACAGGAGATAAATCACCAAATTTCACCGGACCGTTCTGAAGTCTTTGTCACGGAGAAGTTCAAAATAAAAACCTCATTTTGGTCCCGGTTGTTAAAACCAGTCAGTTTTCTGTCAGCTGGTCTAATTTATCCCAGTCTACAGTCACAGTCTCCCCGTATCCCCCAGTTAGAGCTTTTTAAATGGGGCTTTTATTTTGAAGAGTCGCTCCTCTACTTCCGGGCGTGATGTATCTGGCTTACCAGAACATCTGCACCACCTGTCTGTCCAGCTGCTGAGCCTGGGCACGAGGAGGGATGAGAAAAACAACTTTAATGTCTTTATTTAATTTTTAAATCTTTTTTAATATAACGTCAGAAGTTCATCACTTTTTAATTCATCACTTTTTGTGTGTGTTAGCAGAATATCTGAGCAGCAGGACAGATTTTAATGAAGGATTCAGGAACTGATCATTCCATGCTCCTCTACAGCTGATGAACTTCTGGAGCCAGCACAGTTCAAGATGGCCGCCACAGCCAGCTCACCTCACCAACATGGCCACCACAGCCAGCTCACCTCACCAACATGGCCGCCACAGCCAGCTCACCTCACCAACATGGCCGCCACAGCCAGCTCACCTCACCAACATGGCCGCCACAGCCAGCTCACCTCAGATGGAGGTGAAGCTGGTGGTAGTAGCTGAGAGTGGTCCTCTGGTGGTTGTCGGAGGCCTGACCCGAGCAGCTCCTCGGTCAGCAGCAGGTCCAGATCTACCTGCAGGTGGACCTCCTGGACGTCGGATCATATCTGTGATGGTTCTGACCGACCCGCCAGGAACCGAAGTGGCTCCTGGATTTGTTCTGATCCGAAGCTTTTCTTCTTTGGCCTCCATGCAGGGATTTAAGGGCTCTTTGTTTTCAATCCTCTTTCCTCTGTCCTGCTGCTCGCACTTAATCTGTTCAGTCCTCGAGCCGGGACCAGGACCGGGCCGGGCCCGGGGGGACTGGGGGGGCACGGTGTCACATCCAGAGACGTCTCCCCTCTGCTCCTTGTGGTCTGATGAAGAGCTAACAGGTGGTGCAGTCCTTCACGGGTGCAGCAGGAAGTGGTTAGGTTCTCTGAGATCTGTAAGCGGGCCTGAGGAGAACCAGGTTCTGACCCACTACAGACCCGGACTGGTTGAGACTTCTTTACTGCACGTTAGGTTCTGTGTTGCTCCGTGATCCTGGAGGAACGCTGTGGAGCTGAGGGGACAAGAAAACCTGCGACTCTGCCGGACTCGGCCCTCCTCAGAGACCCAGCTGGACTCCTGGTCCTTGGTTTCAGATGATTTGGTTTCCAGCAGAGGGACCAGGACTGAAGGAGCCCACAGACCTGGTTCTGGGTTGTGACCCAGAACCAGTTGGACTCAAGTCCAGAAGCATCGATGACACAAGACCATCCTGTCAGAGACGTCCTGAGAAGGACAGTAAGACCGCTCTGAGCAACAGCTGAAGAACAGCTAAACGACAGCCGAATGACAGCTGAACGACAGCTGAATGAGAGTTGAACAACAGCTAGATGATAGCTGAATAAGAGTTGAATGACAGCTGAAGAACAGCTGGATGGCAAATGAATGACAGGCGAACGACAGCTGGATGACAGCTGAAAAACACCTGAATGACAGCTGAAGAACAGGTGAACGACAGCTGAAGAACAGCTGGAGGACAGCTGAAGAACAGCTGGATGACAGCTGAAGAACAGGTGAACGACAGCTGGATGACAGCTGAAGAACAGCTGGATGACAAATGAATGACAGGTGAATGACAGCTGAAGAACAGCTGAAGAACAGCTGAATGACAACTGAACGACAGCTGAAGAACAGGTGAATGACAGCTGAACAGCAGCTGAACGACAGCCGAATGACAGCTGAAGAACTGCTGAAAGACAGCTGAAGAACAGGTGAACGACAGCTGAAGAACAGCTGGATGACAGCTGAAGAACAGCTGGATGACAGCTGAAGAACA